GTTTGTTTTTAAAATACTGGATAGAGGAAGTTGTGTTTCAATAAAAAAGGATAGAGTAGGTAAGATGCATATATTTTGGATATCCAAACTAATGAAACTGATAGTACTTTAACAAAAGATCATCGGATAATTACATTCCTTTCAATTGTATTAACAAGATTGATAATCTCAGAATTCCAAAAAACCCAGATGGTTGTAGTTATGTACTTTTTTTTTTTTTTACATTTGGATGCTCTGATCCACACTTGGTTTGCCTAATTTTATATTTCAAATTTTTACACAGTATGAAAAAAAAATTGAGAAAAAATACAATTTCCACATAGAAAGTGTACATGTGACTTGTGTTGTTTATAAATGTTTATTGAATGACATTCTGGATAAAACTGAAATTTTGGGCTCATATTCTTAAGATCAGATAACACTGAACTTTGAACCTACCGAAACGACTAAATCTTAGACTACTCGCTGAAAGTTATTTTACGATGTTAAAGATGAAAGTAACAAATCGCTATAAAAAAAAACCAAAGTATAGGAAATTACCATGCTGCATATAATCTGTTGCTTTCGCTTTATACTCTTAAGACGGAAAACTATATGGAAAGGAAGAGAAGTCGTATTTCTGATCCAAACCTTAGCCAGCATTTTTTTCTCCTGAATACTTGCTGATCCCCCAAACTATTAACAAAATAGCTGACGAGTGATGAAGTGTGTGTAACAATGCTAAGCCCTTGAGAGATTTGAAATCGCTAATATGCAATAAGAAACTGGCGAGATCCATTGGATTGCTACAACGAACCAGGTCAGTCTGATGGGTACATTAACCTATTTATATGAATCCATTTTACTAAAAACTGGTTGACGTTTCTTCTTTTAGATTATTGGTTCTCAGATGTTACTTACTCAAGTGGATAATCAAAAGAGAAAAACAAGAGGAATTTATCAATCATAAATCTTTTTAATCCCGACAATCAGTTAAGTAAGCATCTCGTAAAAAAAGAGTTAAATGGATAAAACCCCATTGTGCTCATCACATGTGTCTTTGGGATGATACACATTTTTTACACATATATTATATACAACAAGATTACATATGAAATCAGTGGCTTAGGAAAAATAATTCAAAGGTGGAATATTCAAATTCAAAGATCTATAATAATAACAAAAAAGACAATGATATTTCTTTTTGAGGATACCATGTATAGGTAAAGTGCATGGATATGTATTATGAATTGTAATCTTGAAAAAAAACATATCAAGTAATTAAAATGACCGCCCACAATAGATCGGACATTGTTTGATTTCTAATCATATACTTAACGTGATTTTTAAAAACTCATATAATTTAAAATGTTATACAACCATCTATACAGAACAATTGTGTATCTGGATACTTATTTTCTATGTGTGTTCTTTAGCCTTTCAAACATAACTATTCAGAAATATAATTAAAATTATTCTAATACCTGTATAAAAAGGTCAAATAACTAATATTATATATGCATGTATTATTAGGATTGGATAGTTGGAATTCAAAATGTACATTCCTAAAATTTACGTTAAAATTTTAAAAAGTAAAAGATAATAATTTTTAAGAAGTCAAAAATATTTAGAAAGAAAAAAAAAATCAAAATAAACTATAATATAACATGAAATGTTACAATTAAAAAATTTTAGTTTTTGCATAAGCTTACCAATTTCTAATTCGATTATATTTGTTTAAAAAAAGTACGATGTATTATCTTATAGATCTCTTTCCCTCCATTCTATATATATGCCGGGTTTCAATAGTTTGTCTATGTGGAAGTAAAATTTTAATTATCAATTAAAATTTGGTACATTAATCTCTTTTTCATTCTCTTTTTTTTTCTATCATTATTGAAGATACATAAAACAAATATTTATCAAAAAATTTAGAGGCATAATTAAACATACTTTTAAAGAAATTAAACAATTGATGGAAATGGTTGACTTTCATTCAGACCATTGTATTTGATATTTGATTTTCTATGTGAATTTTATTCATTTCTGTTCTTTTCCATTTCCTTTGATTTCTTTTCTTCTTTGACTATATGGTTCATGTATTGGCTACAGCTTATTACTCAGAGAAGAAGTATTATAAGTTACCTACCATTTCTATGCCTCATAACATAATATAAATAGACACAAGACATATACGAATCTCGAAGCAAGTCATAAAGCATATACATCGAGTACAAATTCTAAAAGACATGACAGTATCAAAGACAACATTGCTCATTGTTCTCATCGCACTCTTCTCATGTTTGTGTCTCTCTCTCTCTCTCTCTATATATATATATATATGTGATGCCTAACTAGTTCAAAATTTGGAATGAAACTCATATGCTAAATTCTGTTTTATAGGTGTATGTATATCAAATGCAAGGGTACTTATGAAACCTGGACAATATATGCAAGAGTGTCTTGGAGCATCATGTCAAAAAAAGCTGGCTCAACCAAATCAATATTTTGGGGTTTGCTTTAAAGATATTGATTGCAAAAACAGTTGTTTCGATTCATGCCAATTTCAAAAATGTAATCGTCACATATGTGACTGCAAAAAATGTTAGAAATCATGCTGTTCACTTTGTTGTTTCTTATTTTTTTAATATCTTTTAGTAGAAAAATTTATAAAATGATTTTTTTTATCATTAGTTTACTTCTGGACAATAAATGTTTGATATGATGCATGAAATGTGTTGTTTACCAATTTACTTTTGCTTCTTTTGAAAAATATTTTTTATTTGTTTGTTTTAAAGATATTGGATAGAAGTAAAGTGGCCATATTTTGGATATCCAAACTAACAATACCAGTTGTTGGATGCATAAGCAGACATATATATATTATTGATGATTAATTTGAAAATTAAATAATATTAATACTAAGAGAAAAAATGTTTCTGAAACTAAGTTCTTAAAATTAAATAACTAAACGAGAGTACGAGGAAATTTTATTGACCTCAACTCTTTAATTTCAGCCATCATCATCATCCTCATCACCACCATCACAAATCTTCACAGATTTTTACAAGAGAAAAATCTATACGGTATCGTCTTTGTGGTCGCACAAGGTGTATACACGTCCGTATTAAGAGAAGGTTACTCAAAAAGACACATTTTGTCTTTTCTATACTTCTAAAGACACATTTTTTTCTCCAAACCTTAGCCAGCATTTTTTTTCTCCTGAATACTTGCCGATCCCCCAAACTATCAACAAAATAGCTGACGAGTGATGAAGTGTGTGTAACCATGCTAAGCCCATGAGAGATTTGAAATCGCTAATATGCAATAAGAAAACGAACCAGGTCAGTCTGATGGGTACATTAACCTATTTATATGAATCCATTTTACTAAAAACTGGTTGACATTTCTTCTTTTAGATTATTGGTTCTCAGATGTTACTTACTCAAGTGCATAATCAAAAGAGAAAAACAAGAGGGATTTATCAATCATAAAATCTTTTTAATCCCGACAATCAGTTAAGTAAGCATCTTGTAAACAAACAAAGACTTAAATGGATAAAACCCCATTGTGCTCATCACATGTGTCTTTGGGATGATACACATTTTTTACACTAATATACAACGAGATTACATGTGAAATCAGTGGCTTAGGAAAAAAATTCAAATGTGGAATATTCTAATTCAGAAATCTATAACAATAACAAAAAAGACAATGATATTTCTTTTTGAGGATACCATGTATAGGTAAAATGCATGGATATGTATTATGCATTGTACTCTTGAAAAAAAACATATCAAGTAATTAAAATGACTTTCCACAATAGATCGGACACTGTTTGATTTCTAATCATATACTTAAAGTGATTTTTAAAAACTCATATAATTTAAAATGTTATACAACCATCTAAATAGAACAATTGTGTATCTGGATACTTATCTGCTACGTGTGTTCTTTGGCCTTTCAAACATAACTATTCAGAAAGATAATTACAGTTATTCTAATACCCTTGTATAAAAAGGCCAAATAACTAATATTATATATGCATGTATCATTTAGGATTGGATAGTTGGAATTCAAAATGTACATTCCTAAAATTTATGTTAAAATTTACAAAAGTAAAAGATAATAAATTTTAAGAAGCCGAAAATATTTAGAAAGAAAAAAAAATCAAAATAAACTATAATATAACATGAAATGTTACAATTATAAAATTTTATGTTTTGCATAAGCTTACCAATTTCTATTTCGATTATATTTGTTTTAAAAAAGTTTGATGTATTATCTTATAGATCTATTTCCCTCTATTCTATATATATGTCAGGTTGCAATATTTTGTCTATGTGGAAGTAAAATTTTAATTATCAATTAACATTTGGTACATTAATCTCTTTTTCATTCTCTTTTTTTTTTTTTGTTTATTATTATTGAAGATACATAAAACAAATAGTTATCACCAATTTTAGAGGCATAATTAAACAAGCTTTTTAAGAAATTCAACAATTGATGGAAATTCTTGACTTTCATTCAGAACATTGTATTTGATATTTTATTTTCTATGTGGATTTTATTCATTTCAGTTCTTTTCCATTTCCTTTGATTTGTTTTCTTCTTCGACAATATGGTTCATGTATTGGCTACAACTTATTACTCAGAGAAGAAGTATTATACGCTACCTACCATTTCTATGCCTCATAACATAATATAAATAGACACAAGACATATACAAATCTCAAAGCTGGTCATAAGGCATATACATCGAGTACAAGTTCTAAAAGACATGACAGTATCAAAGACAACATTTCTCATTGTTCTCATCACACTCTTCTCATGTTTCTCTCTCTCTCTCTCTCTCTCTCTCTCTCTCTCTCTCTCTCTATATATATATATATATATATATATATATGTGTGTGTGATGCCTATATAACTAGTTCAAAATTTGGAATGAAACTCATATGCTAAATTCTGTTTTATAGGTGTATGTATATCAAATGCAAGGGTACTTATGAAACCTGGACAATATGTGCAAGAGTGTGTTGGAGCATTATGTCAACAAAAGCTGGCTCAACCAAATCAATATTTTGGAGTTTGCTTTAAAGATATTGATTGCAAAAACAGTTGTTTCGATTCATGCCAATTTCAAAAATGTAATCGTCACATATGCGACTGCAAAAAATGTTAGAAATCATGCTGTTCACTTTGTTGTTTCTTATTTTTTATATCTTTTAGTAGAAAAATTTATAAAATGATTTTTGATCATTAGTTTACTTCTGGACAATAAATGTTTGATATGATGCATAAAATGTGTTGTTTCCCAATTTACTTTTGCTTCTTTTGAAAAATATTTTTTGTTTGTTTGTTTTAAAGATATTGGATAGAAGTAAGATGCACATATTTTGGATATCCACACTAACAATACCAGTTGTTCTAAAATGCGCTATGCGCTAGTTCTACGGTGACCCAACGCCTATCGTATACCTGTATACGTGGACGCATAAGCAGACATATATATATACAAATTATTGATGATTAATACGAAAATGAATTAATATTAATACTAAGATAAAAAAATGTTTCCAATACTAAGTTCTTAAAATTAAATAACTAAACGAGAGTACGAGGAATTTTTGTTGACATCAACTCTTCAATTTCAGCACCAGCATCATCATCCTCATCACCACCATCACAAATCTTCACAGATTTTTGCAAGTCATCATCATCTTAACTCCTCTTGTTTTTATTTTTCTTCTTTGCTTCATCAATAGCTGTTTGCATTTTTCTTGATCATCTTTTGTTGATGGCGGACAAGCAGAAACATTTCCTGGAATCTTGGCAATATGCTATTTGATCCTAAATGCACCACCAAAAATTCATTTTCCCACATAGTTTACACCTCACCTTATCTGGATTACACAACATAATGTATTCCCAAGCAACATCTTTGGAAGTTCTTTTCAAACCTAAAGTTTCTGAAGATCCTGCGGTTCATACTTAAATTTGCAGATTATCCAACAATACCTCTTGAATGATTTCTAATTTTTTTTGTTAAAAAAACATGTAGTGAGAACAAACTGAGCATACTTTGTAGGGAAAATTGCCAAATATGACTCAAAACTTGATTTGAAATGCAAAAGTAAACCCAAACTTGAATCAAATGCAAAAGTAACTTAAAAGGCTGTTGAAATTACAACCAACCCCTTGTGAACAAACAAAAAAAGAGTTTTTTTTTGACGTTTTTAGCCCTCGCAAGTCGTCTGCCCAGACGACTTTAAACTAAGTCGTCC